GCATTGACAAACAGGAAGGAAAGGTTAGCACTGCACTGCGCGGCGATCCAAACTAAGTTCGATTCCCACTCACAGCCAACATCAGTGGTGAATATTTGAACCAGTCCTGGGCCTCCCCTAGGTCGACGCAGCCTTAAATGAGTGCCTGGAACGGTGTGCACTTGTCAGCATCGGGGTGACAAAGGCGACTGTGTGTATCGTTCCGACCTACAGAGGTGATCGCTAACAACACTTGCCCCAACAGTCTGTGTAGGCTCTGTGGGGACTCTTTTTCTATGTGTGTGCTATTGAAAACACCAGCACAGAAACTGTATAGACTGTGCTGAGACATTGCCCTTGCATTAGAACACCAGCACAGATACTATATAGACTCTGCTGAGACATTGCCCTTGCATTAGAACATCAGCACAGAAACTGTATAGACTGTGCTGAGACATTACCCTTGCATTAGAACACCAGCACATAAACTGTATAGACTGTGCTGAGACATTGCCCTTGCATTAGAACACCAGCACAGAAACTGTATAGACTGTGCTGAAACATTGCCCTTGCATTAGAACATCAATTTTAGTTCAGGGCTCAGCAACCAAAGTAACAAGAAGAGGCATTTTTTTGAATTCGATAGAAAAGAATCAATATTTCAAGAACCGCAATGCATGTGAATATGAGACGGTGGTCCTTAATACACAAAGTCATGAAGCAGTGCTTAAAGAGCTGCATGCAGGCGCAGGTTGCCGATCCCCCTTCTAGTTAACATCATAGATAAACAACACCCTTTTTATCATTGGGGTGATATTCTCATGTACCTGTAAAGTGTACAAATGTGGATACATTGGTTGTTTTGTGAATGGTTGGTTGTCATCATGAATGACAAATGGCATTACAGTTTTATGAGACTGTTCGTACAAATGGGTTTCTTATATACTTTATTGTCTAACTTTTGCCATCCTATCTCGTAATAATGCGAATCTCTTCACAGGATGCAATTGAAAGGTACTTTATCCAGTATATACTATATCTTTTATTTAGAAAAGATAGAAGCACATTGAATGTGAAAAAATACTTGAAAGAATTCTGTCATTGATTTTCAAATTATCATATAAAACATATCAGGCCTCGTGTCAGTGCACTGCTGAATGAAGTGCCCTCCCACGCTGTGTTGGTCATAGGGGTTATTTGGCCAAACTTCCTGCTGGTTACTGTTGGTTGTTGAAGGGGGGCCCAGGAGAAGTTCATAAATCACTCGCCTTGACCGCGAATAAAACTCAAGTCGCCAAGTTCTTAAATCAGTGTTATACTATTGCCACCACTGCCGTTTCCAAACATATACGCATACAAAAAAATCCAATACGTGTATTATTACTTTAATAACTGCCATTAGCAGAGATTAAGCGTTGCACATCCAGGATATCATGGGTGGTAACTCTGGGTAAATGCACCGTTGATGGTATGCTTCATCACTCTGGGAAGTCTTGTCCAACAATCATTTTATAGCTTTCATCAAAATTCCTTCACGTAAAAAAACACATTTCTGTCCTGACATGTAGTGACATTGCTATAATGACCTGAAATGCCTTGCATCTCTAATGCAATTCATTCTAACATAACATTATTTACCATAGTGTGGAAAAATGTTTTTGGTGACACATCTTGAATATCTCTCCACTCTGTAATCACGAATGACCCTATTCTGCCACTTGTAACAGACTGTAAATTAGATTTTGCATGCCAGCTGTGCATCTGGCGATTTAATTTAAATAAACTGAAACATTTTAATCCATATGGAAACAAATTCTGGAATAAAATTAGCCCAATAAATTAATGAAGCAGTACATGGTTCAAATGTAACATAAAATGTTAAACAGAAATAAATTGAAATTAATATATCAGTGAACAATGGCTATGTATTTTAAATGTTACCGATGAGATTTGCTTTCACATATCCCCATATCAGGGTGGTGCCATGGTGTAACGGTGAGTGCAGTGGACTTGCAATCCAGGAAGTCACCGGTACGATTCGACTTCCCACAGCGGCGGTTGAAACAACGCTTCAGGTTTTTTTTTAAATCCCCCACGCCGCCTCTGTCCACCCGGCAGAGAACCGCCCCAGTTAATCGGCAGGTCGCATGTACGAAGGGGTCAATTCTTCGTACTCCCACTGCTTCCAAGGTGTCTGGTCAACGTGGATGAGTAGGCCCAAGTGCCTTCAAATGGGGCTCTCTTTAGCTCCCTCGAGTGCATGCCCTTTTGTGGCGTGAGCAAGTAATTGCAGTGCTGCACTTTGACCATTATATTCTCATTTATAACTTTGGAACATGTATTAGAGTTGAGCAAAATTACTCTGGATGATGAATATTTATTAAAGGGTCTTTGTACAATGAATTCATCACTCATGTACATAATTACAAATTCTTGTTATTAAGTTATCACCAATACACTCAGTAAATTGCAGTGACAAAAATGTATACTTTCAAAATTGGGTGGGTGTCTGCAAACATTTTTTTCAAAATTTCTTCACAGCAGAGGTGTGGCTGATTCAGGAAATCGAAATGCACAATTTATGCAATGTATTCACAATGAATGCATTGGCGATGTCTGGTGTTGGGGATTGCGCAAAAAAGCATCTTGCAAATTACTTTTTGTTGTTTTGAAATGGATTATAATAACAGCCCCATTGGAAGATATTATGCACAGACCTGGAGGATAGGGTTGAAAGGTTTATTTTGTGTTTCCTGAGGTTATTTTGTTTTTATTGACCGACACTTGCCTTTGAAAGTCACCAAATTTTCCAAACTCGCATTTTTTTGCATGCAGTCATTAGCACTGCGAATTATGTTGAAAGAAAAAAATACTCATGAAGAGTCCCCGATATAATTAGTTTATTTCGTTAAGAGTATACTGCAATCAATGAAGTCATTGTGTTTTCTATAATTTTGGCTGCTGCAGGATTTTTTTTCCTCGTCGGGTATATTTACTTGCATTCGACGTGGCCCATGCTTGACTCGGCTGACGAATCGCGTGCCTGTTAACTATTCAAGAAAGCTCTCAGTTCTTGTAGAAAGGACATGTGTGGCGATGTTCCCAGTCTGCTCCATTCTAACTGCAAGGACGTCTCACTTATAGCCAGTGTGTGTTTTTGCATGGTAAACTGTTGGACTAGGATACGAATGTGTGAGCAAAATATATGAGCGATGTCTTTCAAAGTTTAATGAAAATTTTCGGGTTTGTAGAGGAGCATATATTGGGCATGGATTGGTATGAAACATTCTCAAGTAATGAAACTTCTCGATGCTTTTTTATTGTACCGCCTGTAATTCGGTACAAATGTCCATTTCAACGTACGTTGCTGTTGCCGTAAGAAGCTCCCAGCATGTGGAGTTGAAACTCCGGACATCATAACCCAAAATGTACAACCGAAAACACATTGGAGAGCCAAACAACATCACCGCTGAAAACCTGCGAAGTCGTAACGTGCCACAGTTGCCCCTGCGGCAGTCCCTGATCTGTCTCTAAGAAAAGCACCCCCGACTTCCACGAAGTGATGTTCAATAAATGACCAATGAGAGATATGATAGGCTTTGTCAGATTAAACAGGCGGTAATTATTAGCAAAGTATATATATACTTTATATATATACTTTGCTTTTACCGCACATTTTTTTAAATCAATGATTTCCCCCCTTACTATATTTAGCTCTGATCTGTATAGTCCATTTGATTACCAAAATGAATACTGTATAGCTATTGCCACTCTCGCTAATATGTCTGGAAAATGAGACGCAGACATTAGAAGGGGGGAAACAGAAACGAAATGTTTCCATTTAAAATAAATGCAGATCCTTTGTAATCATGGTTTATTTAAATATTGATTGTCCTTGAGTGCACAATAACAACCAAACACTCAACAACACCAAAGCTGTTGTGCAGAAAGGGATTACTGACTGCATAGGATGTGGCGGTTGTGCTGAATAGTTTTTACATCAGTGGAGAATGGCAACTGCTCCGTTCGGTTCCTGACGAATGTCCCAGCACGTGGAGCAGAACGTTACACATAATGTCCAACAAAATTGTGACACAACATGAAAATGCATCGTATAGCTATTGGAAGGAAAATGTTTCGACTAAACCCTTGCGTCATTTAAATTCAGGTGGGGTTGTCGCGAACAATTTATTGATTAATCGATTAATATCTCACTATGCATGCATCGAATCGCATGTCTGAAATTATTATTTCAGCCACAAGAGGCCGCTATTGTCATTGCACTTTTGGGAAAAAAAGGATTGCTGAATCGCGACACTTCATCACGTTGCTGGGGAGGTGAATTGTTCCACCCCGAGCTGTTACGGTCCACGCTGGTAGTGGAAGAGTTGCAGTGAAACATCAACGGGGAATGGTAAAGCCGTGAGAGCCAGCAATCGGACATCCTCTCACAATTACCATCGATATTTACCGAAAGAACCAAAGAGTATGGATTCCTGCAGTCACGAAAGCTTCAAATCAAGATTCATGCAATTGTAAAGTGTAAAACAAGCTTTCCGCACATCTGTTGAGTGCGTTACTGGTTTGCGAACCGAGTTGTACAATTACTGTATGTGAGATTCCGTACATGCTGAAAGTTAATGATTGCAACGACAACAAAGAAACATCTGCTCTGGAAAATCAAAGTTTTTTTTGTGTCAACGTCTCCCATACTGTGAGATTGTCGAAACACACCACCCCGTGTGATTGTAGTCACGTGGCATGGCACACGATGCTCGTTGAGAAATTTTACACCCACACATGCACACAATGTGCCTACGTTATGTTTAGTTGTATTTTTTTTAATCCATGAAATATTGAAATGCGCATACTTACGTGGACAATGCATTTTAAGCCTCTATTGTTCTTACTCTTTGGTTCTATTGGGTAAAGTCACGTAGGTGAAAATAAAATAACTCTATTGTTCTTGTTTAGAAATCACAATACGGTATTGCTTTTTTTTCTCTATTTCCATCCGTTAGGTTCACCATACCAACCATCGTTTGCCTTAATGGGACAACCAACTAATCGAACAATCTAGCCGGATGAAGCAACCAGTGCAGAAGTAACAGCCGATGAGTGAAGGTAGGTGCTTTTAATTCAAAGGAAAAAGGGGCAGATGTGGATTCACAAATGGCGAAAAAAGCTATAATCTTGCAAATATCTCTAGTTACAAGAGACCTGGATGGCTCTTTTTATCAGTCCAGTGCAAAATTAAAGCCTCACCCGTGCTGTGTGCATTGTGTGAGTTTATTTGACAATATTTTAATATGCTGGTCTGTGTGGGTTGGTGGTGGGTAGCATAGATGCGTGAGCGCAAGTACAGTCCAGCAATGGATTGTCATGTCCTGCCCTCTGCTGCCCACACAGCAGTGTACCACTCTGTTGCTTATGTATCGTTGTGATTGTTCTTGACGTGGTACATGTGTATGTGGAACTTCTTTCGCACCGCACGTAGCCTCTTTATTGAGGACATTTTCCAGTAAGCCAATGTATACAGGCAGAAGTTAAATTCCTGCATCCATCTGGTAATCTATATCTGCATCACCGAATATTGCCATTTACAGTGCACGCCGCATTAAAGACAAGTGAACATTGCAATCTGTAGTGGCCCCCTCCAGAGGGTACTGTGGGCCACTCTTCTGCGTTGGCCAAACGTCTTTGAGGAGGCGGAGTTCCCGTTTTTCTACTCCACCGAACGCCGCCCTGCCGATCGCATTACTGCTGCGGTGCACCCATTGAGACCGCTGGCTGGCAAGTGGCCCAGGGGATTGAAGAAACCTGCCTGCCCCTACGCCCTCGATCGAGCCCTAACTTTGAGTGTGTATTACATCGAGGTTGTTACACGGGATCTGTTGTTTATTCCCCCTCTTTTTGAAATCTGCTTTGTATTCTGGATTATTCTTTATGACGATACAAAATGACACACATATATATAAACAAAAACATCTTGCCCTCATTGTTGAAACCTTTGCTTCAGGAAATAAAGTCGAAGCGGCTACCTCTGGAGTGCGAGTTCAGTGCCCTGACAGCTACACAGCAGCAACGTCTCCTTGACTGCTCAAATAGATAAACATTATCCTGATTAGAAATGTTACGCGTCATAGTTAGACTCTCTGGTGCGATGCACAAGAGCGTCGAGTAAAATCCGTAGCTCCTCCAAGTGGCTGTCTGGGGGTAACAGTCTGTGCCAGAAGAGTTCTAAATGGCTGTATGATGCTGGATGGAGGGGCCCAGTAATCCTGCACTTTGGGGAAGGGAGAAAACGCCACACACAGGATATGGTGGAGCATGGCTAAATTGCTTCAATTATGCAATTAAACCTTTTTCTTTAATTCCACCATGTGAGGGTAACACACTTACAACTTGAAATATTGTGCATTTATGAAGTAATTAGTTAATGGCCCTTATTTAGTCGTTGTTTATCAACTTATATTGCGTCGTAATGCATCAGAAAGTGTTCCCTCTGCCATCTGTCTGTGTGTATGTTGAACTTATTTCGCATCGTACGTAGCCAGCCGTGCTATTAAGCCGGTTGGGGGCAAGGACAGCAAACTAAACACAAAACGCAGTTCTAAAGAAATGAGTTTTCAATCGAGATTGAATAGTGCATAGCTCCAGTGGCATCGGGAGGAAGAGCATTCTAGAAGGCCGCAGAAGCACATCTGAAGGTGCGCGATGCAGTGACCATCTTTGTTCGATGGCTAGCTAAAAGCCACTGCGAGGATGACCGGAATTCATTCGCTGTATCTGGAAGTCTGAGACAGGTGCCACGTTAATCTGAACGAGTGCAAACGGTCAGCGAGTACATCTGCAATTGATCTAAAAAAAAATGTATTCAGGTACTCATAGCCCCCCTTAACCCCCCTTTCAGAGCACTTCACAACAGAGTAAATACACTTTGCTTACCTCCTCTGCTAACAATTCAACATTAACACTATTCACTTAGAAAGCCTGGCAATTCAACGTTGTGAGCATGCTTTTGTCTTAATAAGCTGTAACAAAAAAAACCTCAACCTATGACCGGCTCATTTGTCCATTTGATAATTATTTGACATGGACATCCATCGTTCAAGACCAGATGCATTTGTCAGTGTGTGTATTTGGCAGACACTACCGTTGGGTGTCTTACAGAGCACCGCATTAGATGTAAGTCTCACTAAAGTATATCTAATCCAGCAGGAGTAAGAGTGGAATTGGCTTTACTTTGCGTTTCCAGGTGGTGTTCTATGCTGGGTGCTGTTGAACTTACGTCCCTTTTTTCTTAGAATATTTCCATTCTATGAAATGTTTTTTTTTAGTTTCGAGTGACTACCTCACTGGAACAATGTCTTGGTTGGCATGACAAATGATGTACCTATATTACAGGAACCATATGTGACTGTTACTCCTGCTTGATTTTAAAGCAATCATTCCAAACACTTATGCATAAAGATGGACCAGCATCCGAGTGTAGGACCCTCCTGAAATGAGTCTTGACAATCGGTGAACTCTTTGGTAAATCATTGGTATTAAGAGTACACATGATAGCACCATTGGTCAGGAAAAAAAAAAGTTCTTGTAATAATGATGATGTCGACGATGACGATAAAACACATTCACAACTTCTTGTGCCAAATGCGGACGAAACAACAACACTTAATATCTCATCACATTTTAAATGAATAGACGTTCCAGGCAATGGGCCTTATTGAGAGCAAAGAGCTATTATTCAGGCCCCTGGGGGTCCATTCATAATCAGCAAAAAATAGCACTGTGCTCATAAGTAAACTAAAAGTTGCATGTAAATATATGTTAATATCACTTAATATCAGCTCCAGAAAATCAACATGAAGATAAATGTGTTTGGTGCCGAGCATGCATCTTTGTAGTGACCCTGAACTGTCACCAGGACCGCATTATAAATGAGATGGTATGCCGTACTTTAATTAGGCTCGCTAAACAAACCCGCCTCGTAGATTTTAACCATTAACACCATCCGTGCCGGGGTTTCCATGCTAATTTATGAGTGCGCAACCCTCATATTCGGTGAGGCGACCCTTGATATGATGTGTCGAAGGTTGTCGTGACCCTCATACATTTTGTATGGCTTCATGGTCCCAGAAATATGATGAATGAATGAATAAATAAACGAACAAATTAGCACGGTCATTGCTTGCGGCGATGGGCAGAATAATTCTCGATGGTGACATTTGTCATCAGGTGGTAAAAAAGATAGAATTAGCTATTTTACTTAATAAATTACACAGTGTGCAAGGCGGAGGAGAGGGTGGACTGATTGAAAGGCTGGCTGAAGACCGCTTGTGTTGCGATCGAAACGTCCTGAGTTTTTTGCTTTTATTATTTTCAATAAAATTGTATTGTTTTATTATTTTATTTGAATTTTATTTTCTATCTACGTGACTTTATCGAAAGAACCACGAATATGGTGTTTACACACATTCGCATTTCCGCATGCCTTATAGTCCGTGACATTTATTAGCAAAGGAAAAAAATGATTTTGACTTTGTTTGCACCGCTGTACAATACAGTATAAACCATGATCGTAATTTAATTTATTGTTCACAAAGTTCTTTTAGTTGCCAAACAGTCCATAGTTAGGTTGCTTTTCGTCTCAGTCTTACCAGTCAGCACTTCATAAATCTAATTGATTTCCCACTGCCATTATTATTTGGTGTTTGAAAGTTATTATTGTTTATTGATTTACTTCAATTACCTAACAGTGTTTGTGCAGCAAAGTGCTCACTGGAATTTTTGATTTGCTCATGTTTAAGCACTTCACCGCTTTGCTGAGCATGCGAGCCCCGGCTAACTCGTGTCCAACGTTAACGCTACGCAACGTACTCGGCAGAAAATGCAGGGTGTTTTTTTTTAAAATAGGCCGCTTTTGTTTTTAATAAGTTCATATGGACCAGAGTGCTAAGTAGGCTTGCCTGTCATGCTATAGTAGTAGCAGCAGTTTATGAGGGGGAAATAAATAAATAACCAACAACACAAAGCATTCAGTGCTACTTTAGAGTGGCAGGTATTGCGCTGAACCACCGCTAATGAGTTACACGTGAACTATTTTCCGCGTCTCAGCGAGGGCCTGTTTATCGCACAAGGCATTCTTTTTTCCTGCAAAGAAAACCCCGTCCGCCGTGATGCAGCCGAAGGCCGTAAGGTGTGCGTCATAGAACACGCACATCAAAAGGGGGGGGGGGGATATTAAACAATACTTAAACTTGTTTTCAATACGGGCAGTGATATTCAGAAATTCGCAATCGTATAACGGTTGACAAAGAGACGTTGGAAACCTTTCCTGCTGGGCGACACGTGAATGCGGTGGCTGCCATCACCCTTGACAAGTAACACCTTGCTGCTTTGTGTGACTTGTCTTGCGTCCTTTGACTTTTCCGTGTCCGGTGCCTCCTCGCCGGCTCTGGCGAGAGCGTCTGACTACCCACGGACACCTCCCCCCCACCCCCCACCGAGAGATGTGTAAGAACAAGGTTATTATTTTTTAATTGGGGAGTGATTACGACCAACTTGTAAGGTAAAGTCTAAAATGTCATAGTGTCTGCTTACTCAAGTGATTGTTGGTAGGGGTGTAATGATGCATTTGAGTCGTCAATTACTGTTGGCGATATGTTATCTCCCTCGCCTGGTATGCAGGAGGTCGTGGGTTTGATCCCGACCCTGATGCCTGCTGTGTCTTTGGAGTTTGCATGTTCTTCTCACAGTCGTGTGGATTTTTCTCCAGGTCCTACGGTTTTCCCTCCACATTTGGAAACTTGCGATTCGAGTATTTGGCTGCTACACATTTCCACACGATAAGCCACTTTGTTGACCTATCATTTGTGGCCAGGTTGCTTCTGAAAAAGAGATATGTAGCTCAGTAGGCCTTACCTGCTAAAATACGAAGTTCTGTTTCGTTAGTAATTGGCTTTGTCGGGTGGAGAAGGGTGAACGACACAGTTATGTACACGACGACCTAACCCCACAACACAATTATGAATATTGGTAGTGGTCCTCCGTATAAAAGTAAGATTTTTAAATTAAAAAAAGAAGAACCAGGCTCAGGGAAGGACTTATCAAACGTGAAGTTAGAGAGGGACTTATTGGCAAAGCAAACGTCCACAGAGACACACAGAGCCAGCCGTGCATTAACTC